CTCTCCCTCTAATTTCCCTTATTTTTATGGTTTGACCAAGTAAATAGCCATTCCATTCAAACAAACATGGAGCATAGTGTTTTCTAGGCATTCTATATAAATATATACATAGTGGACATGTATATTTAAATATGTACATGCATCTCAATGTATGTAACTATGTATGCTTGTATTTGTCAATACGTTTCTATTTAAATTTAATTGGGTAAGTTGCTTTGTGTGAGAAAGAATAAAAACAGGAAATTGGATGCAAAAGCTTAAAACTTAAAATTGAGGTGTTATTTTTCTATTTTTCAATTTACTGGTGACTACTTATGTGGGAGCTCTGTCTTCAATTGCAGGCTTTTGATACCTTCAACACGGCTGTTGTATCTCCCATATGCCATGCAATCTTTATGACATTAACAATTTTGGCCAGTGCAATCATGTTTAAGGTACGTTTATTTCTTTTTCCTTGGATGGATGATATCCAATTAATCAGTTTCTAGTTGACCATGCAGCTTGGTAGTATGGTTCTTATGCAATTATTCTAGATTCAGGATTGGGATCGACAAAAACCAACCCAGATTTTCACAGAAATATGTGGGTTCGTTACCATCCTTTCAGGGATTTTTCTTCTTCACAAGACAAAAGAAATGGTTGAAGGTATTTACTAACTTAAAAATCTTAACTTAGTTTAAATTAGTATTTATTAATTTAAAATTTTCAATTTAAGGTCAAGGTTAAAGGTTTAAAACTTTATATTGTCAAATAATTAACTCTTTAATGTTAAAAAAAAGGGTTTATTAACTATACATAAACATTTATATAGGACATTAACATAAAAATTAATAGAGAGAAAAAGAAAAAGAAAATTGGGTGAAGTTACTTAGTAATTGCATGAAGTGTGGAAAAAATATTCAGCTTCAAAGTCATTTGGTGTGGGACATAATAAGAGTCCACTTTGAATTTGGACTTTGAATGCTAGGATAGAAAACGCGTTTATAATAAAGGACAAATGACTTTTGCAGTCTTGGTCAATTAGTCAAGGTGAAATTGCAGTTCCAATTTTCCATTAGGAAGGAAGATCATAGAGCCACTAGGTGCACCCAGGTCATCGTTTCACACAAATTTTTAAATATTATTTTTTAAAATATTAATTTAATTTAATTTAATTATTAAAAA